TGCATGAAATTTTACAGGGAGGAGAGTGAATAGTTGGGAACAATAATGTAATACAATCTGCCACATCAAGCTTACTGAGTTACTGTAGGAATTAAGTGGATGACACCTACAAAACACTTAGTGTTTGACACAATAAACATTCTGTAACGGTAAATTTTTATTAAGTAGTTCAATTTTAATACATATATTTGCCAACACAAGATTAAAATGTATCAGTCTTTGCCTTTTACTCTCCTCTCAACAACCAGCTTCCATACACATTTACATGCATAAACAGTGGTGAACTTGTACCAAATGCATAGCTTTTCGTGGCCTATAGACCTCAGTTTGAAACTCAGTTATGCTGCTTACTCAGTGTGACTGTCTGTGATCACTGTCCTCTCTCAGTCTCAGTCTCCTCATCTGTAAAACAGGAGAAAGCCCACACCATTGGACTGATGTGAATGTTGAAACTCAGAACATTTGACTTCTCTTTCCTCCATAGATTATCCCGTCTCTGGCAAGTTCTTAGAATTAAAGTGTATTCCAAATATGCCAATTTGAGGCAAGTAGAGGACATCTTCATGCCAGGTACTTAGAGAATGCAAACTTTGAGGATTTCTGCAGTAATTAGTAATTATTGCCACTCCCTTTACTAAAAGAAGATGTGAGGCTCTTCCCTAACTGAAATGCATAGGCTCTCTTGAGGATGCCTCTACCTGGAATGCCTTTCTTTCACAAATGAAATTCTCTTTTTTGAACATTCTAAGATCACCATCCCTACCTGACCATGAGAATTCGGTGAGTACTCTTGACTCAGTGTTTAAAATTTGGCTTACCTGCTCACATCTGGTAGTATATGTTAGTGGACTAGGGTGCTAATCCTTGGTATTACTTGTGTCAAACTCCAGTCTTCTTGCTTAGCTTGAAAAACCCAGTTGGGACCTTCTTTGGGGCACCCAATACTGAAGTAAGTAGGGACCAGTTTGCTATGAAGAAAGTGCTAAGCAATGCCCAGGTCATCCAGAGATATCCGAAAAACTGTCTGGTGTCAGGTAAAACAGTGGCACAGTTACATTTGTGTTTTAGAATGATGTCTCTGACGGCTGTGAGAATACACCGGAAGACAGCAAGGCGAGGGAACAGCACAATTGTTCATACAAGAGCTGGTGCCCTTGTTTTTCAAAAAACATCCCTGGGCAATACTGCGTTCCTTCGCTGTGTTTCTTTGTTTGCTAACTGTTGGGTTTGGACAGTGCCAGGGTCTTCAGTAGAGTGACTTTCTTTCGATGCAGTGCTATGAGAACAAGCATTTGTAAGAACTCACAAGAATTTAATATCCAAGTGCGCTGTCATTCTTTTCTTGTGACTCATTTCAAGTTTAGTTATAAATGTATCAGTAGGTAATGGAATGGAATGAAAACAGACAAACGACACTAACGTGAAAGAGCCCTCCATCAGAGAGTCCGGGAAGCACTGCCACTGCGCCGCACAGGGAACAGCCTTCTTTGTTTCTTTGCTGGGGTAGGATGATTTTAACTATTTTCCTGGATTTTGATGAAATGAAACTACACCCAAGTTGGATTCCAGGTACTTCTAGATTTTTACTCTGATGCTGTTTTCTGGACTACGATACCCAATTTTTCTCTGATTACAAAACTGTCAACTTTTTATTGGGATGGCAAGGGGATATTTAAATGTTTAACCCCACATTCACACATACATCTCTTCTCTCTCTCTCTTTTAGTTAAATTAGTAGACTCTTTTTAGAGCAGTTTTAAGTTTACAGAAAATTTAAGTGGAAAATAAAGACCCCTTTTCCCTGCCACACACAGTACCCCATTATCAACAGCTTCATTAGAGGGGTACTTTTGTTTCAATTAATAAGCATATATATATATATATACATATATATTAGACACAGTCTTGCTCTGTTACCCAGGCTGGAGTGCAATGGCCCAATCTTGGCTCACTAGAACCTCTGCCTCCCGGGTTAAGTGATTCTCCTGCCTCAGCCTCCTGAGTAGCTGGGTTTACAGGTGTGCACCACCACACCCAGTTATTTTTGTATTTTTAGCAGAGATGGGGTTTCACCATGTTGGCCAGGCTCATCTCAGACTCCTGACTTCAATGATCCACCCACCTCAGCCTCCCAAAGTGCTGGGATCACAGGCATGAGTCGCTGTGCCTGGCCTGATGAGCCAATATTAATATATCATGATTGATTGAAGCCCATACTTTACATTAGGGCTCACTCTGTGTTGTACATCCCAGGTTTTTGAACAATGTATAATGACATGTAGTCTGCATTATAGTCTCATGCAGAAGAGTTTCACTGTTCTAAAAATTCTCTTGAGTTCCACCCATTCATCCATCCCTCTCTGTCCCTGAACCCTTGGCAACAGCTGATATTTTTACTGTTTTCATAGTTTACCTTTTCCAGAATGCCATAAAGTTAAGAGGTAGAATTTTTGATGTCTCTTTCTTGTACACTTTTCCTTCATGTTTTCATGTCCTTTTTAGCTCATCACACACACACACACTCACACATGCACACACACGCGCACTTCCAAAACTGAACCGAAAGTTGAGAAAAACCCATACCTAACTTGGTTCACAATATTGTTAAGTATGAGAGGGCATTTGGGGGGCCATTTTCTCTCTCTCCCTGCCTTCCTATCAGGAAGTAAACACTGACATTCACCCATCTCACTAGAGCCAGGTCTCTCCTCCTGGCTTGGTCTGTTCACTTGTTTCCCTGAAAGCAAAAGCCGCTTTGCCTGGGCTGTGTCTGAGTGGTAATTACCTTGTGTCTGTTCAGCTGCTTTCAAATTATTTTCCCCACCTTCAGAGCAATTGCCTCCTACTTCTTATCTCTACTGTGATCTTCTACAGGGCACAAGGGACCTGTCTCTTGACTCTCATATTTTTGCTTCTGATGTTAAAAAGTCCCCTTGAACTTGCATTTTACAGACACCAGCAAAGCCCAAGTGTCTTCACATAACCTGACACTTCCCGGGGGCAGGGTGTTTGCAATTATAGCCTGAGCTGGCGGCGGGATCAGAGAGTTGCCCAGGCCCGGCGAGGCCTGGCCTGCAGAGCACCTTTGATGAGTGATGGGGTTATTATTATGAATGCTATGCGAGGATGCTGGTAAAGTCCCATGGCAGGAGCACTTTTCTCCCTTCATCTTGTCTTAGCTGTAAAGACAGACAGACATATATATACATATATGCATATACTGGGAGGCAGGCCGACTAGGGAGAGATGAAGTTAGAGGAAATTCTGACACATTTTGGAATGATCTTTCTCCCATGCCTCTGTCTTCCCAGAGACTCCTCTTTCTCACTGACAGGACACCCTCTCTTAAGAGCCATGAGTATAGTTTACTCCCAAATTGAAGAGCCGACCTCTTTTCCCAGCTTTTGCATTCCAACAGCCTCCCTTCCCTTTTATCTTTTTTGTGGAGGCTTAGGATTTCTTTCTTTGGAGGCATTTTCTGTCACTTTGTCTCTTGCAGAGAAAATAAAAAATACCTAAGTAGAAGGATACTGATCCTAGCTATTTGCATAGAGTGCTTCTCTAGGGAAACAATTTTTTTTTCCCACACTTCCATTGTTTGTGTCTGTGTTCTGTGCTGCAGATCGTTGATCATTGTTCATTTTGCTTCTGTGGTAAATCTGTATCCCTGTGGGTGGGCCCAGCATTCCCTGAAAGAGAGAGGCACACCCAGTGTTACATGTCTGAGGAGGAGGCCATACTTAGCCAGAAAATATGACCTTAGAAGGCTTGGCAAAGGGTCTCCTAGTCCTTCCACTTTGATTTTAGACCTTGCGGAGACTTGATGCCCTTGGAGGAGAGCATCATTTCAGGGTTTTGAGATGGCCTCCCTGATAGGAAGGTGTGATGGGAACTGGAAAGGGGCTCCCAGGCTACATGAAATGAGCTGAAGGTGGGAAGCCACCCTCATCTTGTCAAGTGCCATGGCTGCTTATTTCTTGCCTGTTCATTCCCTTCAGTTACCCTAACCCCTTTAGAAAAGCCTCTTGTGAGCCTTTGAAATTTTTCTTTAAAACACTACAGAATCCAGGGAAGAACCTTGCCACATCATTTCAGGACAGCAGTAAAGAGGCTGGAATGTCTCCCAAGATCAGCTGGAGCAGGAGGGAATGTTCTGGATCGCATTTAAAAACATGACTTGAATTGAAAACTGTCATCATATGCCTGTCATTATGTTCTAAATCTTAAAATATCCTTACGAAGTGGCACTGCTCTTGCTCCCATTTTACAGACGAGGAAGCAACATTTGAGACTGTGTATGCCAACAGCCGATTCTCATTTTACATTGTCTGTTTTCTGATACCCTTGAAAGATTTGCACTGGATATTAGAAAGAAAGTGGAACAGTTTTGCTACATTTTTACAACTCCCAAAGCACTTTTGTGTACTTGGTCTTTTAACTAGACGATTACATTACGTGGATAAAGCAAGACAAGTTTTTCGGTTTTGTTTTTGTTTATTTTTAAATTTTTAAGAGCTGGACCCTGCAATCTGGGTTATATGATTTATTGGAAACCAAGTGTCAGTAGATGAGGGGATGGAATTCAAAATTATTGCAAGTACAGGACTTAGTCCTCTAGCACTTGATTTTGGATTAATTTAGAATCTGTTCATGCATGGAAATGCCAAAGACTGGGAACATAATTCCAATAGTCTCAGCAGCACGCTGGGAATAGGAGGACCCCCAAGTCCCAGTGGACTACAAGCCTGCTAGGTCAGACTTCCTATGTGTTTGCTTGGTTCACTGAAAGTGGCCAGGGAGACTTCTATGAATGTGTCAGATATCTCTTGTGCATCAATTTAGGCTCTGTGGCAAAGTCCAGAAGATGTGGGAAATTGAAATAATCGTGTGGATACTTGGTTCTACACCTATGGTTTTGCCAACTCACAGGACACGGGGGAAACATTTGATGTTGTTTTTTCTGCTTCAAGGATTCCAAGATACATCTTTCTTTGTTTCAGCCACCATAGGTTACTGACAGACCAAAATATCCTGACAACTCCTGAATGCTGGAAGGAGAGAAGGGGTTTATAAATCTGAGGTCCTTGACTATTTTGTAAGAAGGAATTACCTGCTAAGTATGGTCTCAGAAAGAAATTCTCTTGGAGGTTTCCTGAGGATAAGTGGAGGAAACAAGCCATAGCCTTTTGGAATTGTGATAATATTCCAAGACAAATGTTTCCCAGGGGCTGGGATTTTACCTTGTATCTATCCTACAATCAGAGTGTCAGATGGAGGAATGTACTTCCGGTATCTGAGCCACTGTTTCTCATCCATAGAATGGGGAGTTTGGATTTCTAAGATCCCTCATCTCATGCTTTGAATGGGACCAGGCTGAGAATTCAAAAGCATCTGCCCCCTGGAACGGGAGGCAGCCAGGATGGGACAAGACTTGTATTAAATAATGAGAAAACAGCATGGTGACTATCACTTGACTCAGTCCAGAAATAAAATATAAGGGGGTCTGAACTGGGGCAGAAGAGGATGACAGCAGAAATTCTTCTAGGAGTGGCAGTCAAGCCAGAACAGGCTCAGGGCAGGCTGCCTGGTTTGGGGAATGGCATCAGTATGTGTGGAGAGGTTCTTAAGGCCAGACAGGTGTCGGGGCCCAAGCCAAGTGGACTGGAGGTCAGAACAGGGCTTCAGTTCTAAAAAAAAGGTGCCTGGCTGAGTACAAAGCAGGCCTGAGTCAAAACCCAGTCACCCAGACCTCACAATCATGGCTGGAGTGGCCACAGATAGACCCACAGTGGGTGCAGGGGATCACAAGTTTATGACAGCAAGAGTCATTTCATGCTTACCTACTTTTTCAAGGCAAATACAGGACTGAGTCTAGGTTGGGGGGTTAGAGAAGCTGAACAGACATTTTTAGAACTGAAGTGTGATGTTTTCATTAATATGAATACACACCATAGCCAATATAGATGGAACGCTTTCTCTGTGCCACCCTATTCTATGTGCCTCACATGTGTGGACTCACTGGCAGGCTAGTATTAGAGCTTTTGCTTATTAATCACTATGACAACAGGTCATTCAAAAAATAACTAATCACTGTGTTACCAAGATCAAAACATAGTACTATTCACCCCTTCAGCTGTGACCACCACCATAGGAGAGTCCAGGCAAAAATACAGAGATCAGAAGGGGCAGGTGGAACCCTGTGCAGGCTAAAGACTCCTAGGAAATATGGGCCCTTGAAATGACCTATGTGGGTTTCACTGTCAGCCCTTCTTTCTTTGGCAGGGTCAAGAGCACTTGACCTGTTGATACGCCTTTTGCTTTTCCAGCAAGTCCTACATCTTTCTAGTAAGGATTCCATGCTCCTAAGCTGGAGGTGACTGGAGGTGACTCCGGGCACCATTTTTCAACCTCTCCTAGAAATGTTCTTTGATTTCTTTAGGCTTTGACTTGGGTGACTATGGAGAACCTGACACGGGAAATTAAAAAGCCACAAGAAGTCTTTTAAAAACTTTGAATTGCCAGGCGTGGTGGCTCACGCCTGTAATCCCAGCACTTTGGGAGGCCGAGGCGGGTGGATCACGAGGTCAAGAGATCAAGACCATCTTGGTCAACATGCTGAAACCCTGTCTCTACTAAAAATACAAAAAAATCAGCTGGGCATGGTGGCGCGTGCCTGTAATCCCAGCTATTCAGGAGGCTGAGGCAGGAGAATTGCCTGAACCCAGGAGGCGGAGGCTGCGGTGAGCCGAGATCGCGCCATTGCACTCCAGCCTGGGTAACGAGAGAAACTGCGTCTCAAAAAAAAAAAAAACCAGTTTGAATTACATGGAACATGTGTTTGAAATGCAAGAAGGGGGAAGCCCTCTTTCTTATCATTTCCATCCTTCCTGACCATCTCCCCTGGGAATCAGATGTCCCAGGCACAGCTTAGCTTTCTAACCCTGCTGTATTGCCCTCCATTCCATGATCTCTCTGAATTGCTCTCCCTTTCTCCCTTTACACTAAAAATACCCTAGTTCTGGCCTTCCTCGTCTCTTTAATAATTAAGCTAGCTGACTTACCTCCCTGCCTTCTGGTCACCCTCTACAATCTGTCTTTGTCTCTGTCAGCAGCAGCACCGTCCTGCTGAAAACCACAAAGACCTCCTAACACCAAAAGACAGGTATCCAGAATCCACATCACATGTCGAGATCCCCTATGATGTGCCATGAAATGACCTTCCCCGTCTTAGCTTTCACTCACATTTTCTATAATTTCTGGGCCCAGCAGGCCTGATCTTGTTCTCAACTTCCCTAACTTAGCCTCTTCCATCTGTCAGAAATAGCCTTTCTCTGTCTCCACCTGAGATTAATATATCCTGGAGAGTCTATCTCCCTTTTTGGTGTCCATATCAAGGGCCAGCTCCTCCAGGAAGCCCTTCTGTACCTCCAACCTCATACTTCATCATTAGAAGAGATCACATTCTCATTAGAAGCCCAGACCTCAGCATCACATAATAATACACCCATCTAACAAACCTGCGCATGTATACCCTGAACCTAAAAAAAAGAATTAAAAAAAAAAACAAACAAAATCTACACTGATGAGAAAAAGGATCAAATCCAACTTTAAGTTCCTGACTCTAACTTTCTACCTTTATTTTAGTGCCTCTCAGAATTATCTGCGTTTATGTTCACATAAACCACTGGCTGGGATCATCATAAGTGAATCATCATGTTCCCCAAACAAGAAACTGCCCTGGCACACAGGAAGCTTATGTTAGTATCTTAGTATGATACATATGTATACACATACTATACACATGAACACGTATCTATGTGATGTTTCCAGAGATATGTGTTCATATCCAAAGACAGTTGTCTTTGAAAGTATACACAAGAAACTCTGATAAACTTCTGGGAAATGAAGATAGGAGAGTGGGGCAAAAGAGAGCATTTAGTAAGTTTATGTTTCTTTATGTATTTCTTGACTCTTAAAACCAATATATCATAATTTAATACAATTCATTAAAATAAAAAAATACATGTCAATTATAGAATACATACATCTGTAAAGAAGAATAAATCAAACAGGAATAATTTCCAGAGACTCACAATCTACATACATTCTATTTATATGATTAGATCCATGTTATTCTTACGTGTCCTTTTTGCCAGTTAGCGTTGTATGGAGAGTACTTCTCCGTTCTCTATCATTGAGCTTGTAAATTATTGACTACTTTGGAATACTGCAAATGATAAAGTGAACATGCATGTACTTAAATCTTTGCATGCATTTGTTATTATTTATTAGGTTAAATTCTTAGAAGTAGAACCGCTGGCTTGAAGGGAATATTATCATTTAAGGTTTTAATCTATGTTGCTGAAAGGCTTTACCAATTATTCTCACCAGCATTGTAAGGAAGTATCCGTCTCACAATACCCACATCAGAATTGGGTGTTCCAATTTTTAAAACCTCCTAAACATCTTCCCTCCTTCCCTCCCTCCCTTCTTCCCTCCCTCCCTCCTTCCCTCCGTTGCTTCCTTCCTTCCTTCCTTCCTTCCTCCCTTCCTTCCTTCCTTCCTTCTTTCCTTCCTTCCTTCCTCTCTCTCTCTCCTTCCTTCCTTTCTTTCTTTCTTCCTTTCCTTCCCTTCCCTTCCCTTTCCTTTCCTTTCCTTTCCTTTCTTTTTCTTTCTTTCTTCTCTTGTTCTGTCACCCAGACTGGAGTGCAGTGCCAGCCTACTCCTCCGCCCCCAACATTCAAGTGATCCTCCTGCCTCAGACTCCCAAGTGGCTGGGATTAAGGTACCCGCTACCATGCCTGGCTAATTTGTTGTGTTTTAAGTAGAGATGGAGTTTCACCATATTGGCCAGGGTGGCCTTGAACTCCTGACCTCAAGTGGTGCTCCCACTTCTGCCTCCCAAAGTGCCGGGATTACAGGCTTGATACAGGCTTGAGCCACCACGCCTGGTCCTAACATTTTCTTTACGGATTCTCCCTTTGCTTTTATAGTTAGGGCACCTCTACCCTGAGATGAATCAGATGCATTTGTTTGTTTTTTTGTCAATTCTTTTACGACTTATTTAATATTTGAATTTTTGATCAATTTAAATCAAATTAGATAAATTTTATGAGGTAAAGGAGGGGATATTTGCCTTGCTATAATTCCCAAATATTTAACCAATCATCTATGCCATATTTATTTAATAATTCTTCCTCACACTTTAAATAATTTGTAGTCTTGTTTTTGTTCTGTGTTTGAATTACTGTTGCTGTACAGTATGATTTGACATCTGACAGGGTGGATTTCACCTTTTTAATTATTTATTTTACATCTAGGGTCATTCTCATGTATTTATTTTGTCTAAATGAATCATAAACAGTCTGTCAAGCTTTCAACATAGATCCAAGGGGAATTTTAAATTTTTTTTCTTATTAATATTTGGGAACTTCCTTCTTTTCTTCCTTTTTTCCTCTTTCTTCTCTCCTCTCTCCTCCTCCTCCTTCTTACTCTATTCTTCTTTCTCTTTTTCATCTCTTCTCCTTCCTTCCCTTACTTTCCTTCTCAACTTACTTCATCATTTTCATTTCTCCATCATTACCTTCTTCTATTTATTGATTTCATTTAAATAATAAATTTCATCGAGAAAAATTAAAAATAGGCATAGTGATCAAATGTTGACATGTTGCCTTTTGTGTATGCTTCAAATATTTTAAAATTGACACCTAAAAAGTTACAGAAACAGGCACATTCTTCCACCTGCATTTTCCTCTACTCTCAATAGTAACTAACATTAAAAAATGCTGCACTATCTTTTTGTGTGTTGTCATTTTGTGCATTTTTAACCTATAATTTCACAACATACTTATTTGTCCATAACAACATATATAGTGTTTTGTATTTTTAGAACTTTTGTACAAAATGTGTCAGACTGAACATGTCCTTTTGCAACTTCATTTATTTTGGTCAACAATATGTCGCTTTTCTTAATGAGCATCCTGCATATTCCTTGTTTCATTTACCCTTGGTTATTTAGAATATGTTCCTTATTTTCATGCTAACTTCAATTGATTCAAATTTTGTTGATGGCTTGTGCAACCAAAGGCCTAAATGAGATCAGTCTTCTGTCGTTTTTCTTTTAATGCTTTCTTGATTAGTCTGACATGCACACCCAGTTGGAAAACACTAGTGCAGAAGAGGGAGAGCCTAATGTCAGCATTACCTAGGTATTAGAAGAATTTGGATATTATCATATAAACCTGGCATGATAGCTATGACAGAACCTGTTCTACTGGGAGAAGGCCCCTGCTCAGGACTTCTCTTTACCTACATGGGAACCTGTGAAGGGGAGACCTGCTTGTGATCTTCATTTATAAGGCTAGTGCTGGCCACTGCTTGGTTCTTATCAATCCATACTTGAGGCTAGCACTACATCTGTTTGAGCAGAATTCTGGTCATAGTCTTACTCTGAATTTGGTATCCTTCCATCACAGCCCTTAAATTCCCTAACTATACCTCACCTAGATTTTCCCACATTGTATCTTCATAGATATCCCCAATCTCATCTTAAATCTGAACTGAATCTGCCTGGCTCTTGTCTCACCAACTATTTGGGGGTAATGTAGTGATTCATTCTGTTTCCACATATTATTTTAAGTTTTTACTCCCTTCTTCCCCCATCTAGGTTCAGTTTTTCCCCTGCTTTTAACACCTTGGTCCAGGCAGCTACATTTTCAAACTGTACTAGCATGGCAAAAAACATTTTTTACACATGCTAAACATGAAAGATTGGCTGTGATTTTATGGGAAAATATGTTAAAGATGATTTGGAGGAAAGATCTGGATTCACATAGAAAGAACTATCTGCCATTGGTAGGTAAAGTGATGTTACATACATGTATTCTTGTTGTCACTTATTTTATCCCATCCATGATGAGAACTGATGATTATAAAACCTTTGACTATGAACATAAGATGTGAGTAGTAAGAGAAAAAACCAGTAACAGAAATGAAAAATAAAATATTTTTGTAATCAAGGTCAGGGAGGACATTATTTTACTTTTTCCATTACATTATTCATGTATGCATAATGGTGTGCAGTATTACTTTCCATGTGTAAAAAAAAATCACACAACAGAGTGCATAAAGAAGTGGAGAAATGGAGAATAGTTCTCAAAGTTATTTGATCTGGCAGATTATCTTCCAGAGATGGGTGCAGCTGTATTTTCCATATCACAGGCTCTTCTGGAACATTAAACTCTTCCCCCATCAAGAGGTGGTGTCTGTGTGTGTTCTCCTTGAATTTGGGTGGCTCTTCCTGACTGCTTCAACCAAGAGACTCCAGTAGGAATCATACCATGTAATTTCTGAGGCTAGATCATAAGATTGCCATGTATTTTAATTTTGTTCTTTGAGGGTTGCTGGCTCCTGGAACCCAGCCAACATACTGTGATGAAGCCTACACAACTGTGGAGAGGCTCACATGGAGAGGAATCAGTGCCCACTGATCTACAGCCCTGGCTGAGCTCTCAGCCAACAGTCATAATCAACTTCCAGCCATATTAATGAACCATCTTGAAAGAGGCTCCACCAACACCAAGCTGAGTAGCGTGATTATGTTGCCAAAGATCACCTCTTTCCTATCATCTTTTTTTCTGAGACTTGTTTAGAGTGAACTCGGAAGCTGTGTTTTGCTCACTCTGAAGATTGAATATAAGAAAATATTGCTCAAGTTCTGGATGATGCAGCTGCTGAAGTAATCTGTGATGCACTTTCCTTCAGGAATCCTTATCTATTTGTTCAGGTGTTCCACAAGACTTCTTATCTTGGAGTCCAAGAATACTCATTGTGTGATTGCTTATTGTTTCCCAGACACCCTGTTGCTTTGAGCCCTTGTCTCATGCTTTCAAGTAATGTTCTCATGTTTACCTGCTGATATTCCTTCAAAGGTGCAGGCTGTATCTCTTCAAGCATGGAATAAAACAATCAGATAAGATGTTGTATAACAATTCATATTAAAAACATGATCTTGTCAGTCAAGAAGAAGAGATGAAAACAAACACCTTGAGAGTTCATGAGTAGAAGTATACAGCCCTGAATTTATGATAATATGGTGCAGTTTATCCTTACGCAGCAATGTAACTGCTTAAAGTGCTCCCAAAATTCAGGCAAAATAAATTATAAGTATTATTAAGATCAAAGAAGGTAAGAGTCCCTACCTTTGACATAGGCCAGGCCAAAGTTTGATGTATATGCTCATCTCTTAGCTCTGCAAGTCTATGAAGAAACCATCAGAAAGCATGCTGAAAATAGAATGAGCTTCCATTCAAAACAGAAAGCTCCTGTCTGTTTTAGTGAAGGCTACCAGATCCTTTATCAGAAATTTGGTATAGTTCAGAGGTACAAATGTTCTTTTAGGTCCTTTGAAGCACAGGATTCAATATCAGAGTTTAGTCTTGGCTCCAACCTCCAATTCTTTGCATAGTCATTTGAGCAATCTTGGGGACCAAGTCTTCCATTAGCATAGTGATCAATTCTCCTCATTAACAAGGAACCAGAGATAATATTTCATAGGCAAAATACTCAGGTATGCAAAAATGTAAGTTTTCAATTGATGTTTTTTGTACTGAAATTATCTTAGCTCATTAGCTTTCACTTCTACCTGGTAGCAGGGAATGCAATTTTGCTATTCCAAGTTGATCCATTATTTCTAGTTTCAAGTTTAGTTTATTTTAGATAAAATTTTAAATTCATAATGTTTTTATGACCTTTTATCTTCTCTTCCAAAAAAAGGTTATTCTAACTTCCTAATAGGTTTACTTTCATAGTAGTTGTTGTTATGTATATATATGTATATATTTTTTCAAAAATCAACTTTATTGGTTTGTAACTCACAAAAAATAAAATTCATTCTTTTAAAGTGTATATTTTTTCAATTTCTACACAAATAGCCTGCCAGAATTGGAATGATGTTGAATGTAGATCAATTGTGAGAGAATTGCCATTAACAGTATTGAGTCTTCCAATCCATGGACATAGTATATCTCTCAATTTATTTAGACTTTTTGTTTCTTTCAGCATTTCATTGAAATTTTAGGTTTAGAGGTCTTGTACATATTTTGTTAAGTTTGTCCTAAGAGTTTTATATTTTGAGATGATAGCATAAATGGTATTGTATTTTAAATTTTAGTTTTCAATTGTTTCTTTCTGATGTATAGATTTAAATTCATTTCTGAATGTTGAACTTGTATTTTGTGATCTTGTTAGTTCTAATAACTTTTCTTTTTAGTTTCTTTAGGACATTGTATGCACATGATTATGTTGTCTGCAAATTAAGGGAGGCTTTAATTGTTTTGTAACCTGTATGACTTTTATTCAACTTCAGTAACAATATTAAATAGAAGTGGTGAGAACTGATATCTTTCCTTATTCCAGAAATTAGAGGATAAGAATTCATTCTTTCATTATTGATTATGATTTTATCTGTAGATATTTCATAGGTATAAGTCTTTCATTCTTGATTATGACATTATCTGTAGATATTTCATGGGTAGTCTGTATAACATTGAGGTGTTTTTATTCTATTCCTAGTTTTATGAAATTTTTATCATAAAAACGTGTTAAATTTTGTCATACATATGAGTATGTGTTTATATTCTAAACAGAATTAGATTTTTAGTCTTTATTCTTATAGTGAAATAAAGTACATTTTAAAATGTTAAACCAGTCATGAAACTCTGGAATCTACTTTTCATAATGCACTACCTTTTATATCTAGATGATTATAATTTACTAAGGATTAAGGATTTTTGTGTATTTTTTCATAAAGAGTATCAGTCTAAAGTATGCTTTTCTTGTAAGATTTTATCTGGTTTTGGGTCAGCATAAAACTGGCCTCGTGAAATGATTTGGGAAATCTTCCTCCATACTCTCTTTTTGAAAGAGTTTAGGTAGAATTGTTATTTATTTTATAAATATTTACTGGAATTCACCAATAAAGTCCTCTTTGCTTGGAGTTTTCTTTGTGGTGAAGTCTCTGATTAAAATTTGATATGGGAATATTCAAGTTTTCTATTTCTTCTTGAGTCAGTATTGGTAACCTGTATCTTTTAAAGAATCTGTTGATTATAGCTAAGTTGTCAAATTTATTAGCATAAATTTGTTTATTATGTTCCCTTATTTATTTACTCTAAAATTTCTGTGGATTTGTAGTGATGTCCCTGTTTACATTCAATTATTGGAAATGCTGCTTCTTTTCAAAAAATACTAATAGTCTATTTAAGAGTTTGTAAATTTTATTTATATTTCTACAAAAACAGCTTCAGTTTCATTGATTTTTCTGTTTTGTCTAATTTTTATTTTATTGGCTTCCTCTCATTACTTTCTTACTTCTATTTCCTTCAGGTTTAACTTACTTTTCTTTTACAGATTATTTAAATGAAAGCTCAGGTCACTCATTTTATATGATTTTTATTTTCTAATATAAGCACTTAATACACATTTCCATCTACATGCTGATTTAGCTCTTTCCAAAATTGTTTTAATATTTTCTGATGCCATTATATTTCAGTTCAAAATATTTCATAATTCTTTTGTGATTTATTCTTTTACAGTCTGTATAGATGTGTGTTGTTGAGTTTGTAAATTTTGGAGATGTTTTCACACAGAATGTTTGTATTATTGATTATAATTTAATTTTATTATTTTCAGAGAAGATAATCTGAATAATTTTAGATTTTTTTGATTCATTGATACTTGTTTTATAGCCCATAATATAATCTAACACCATATAATCTTCCCTGTGCACCTGAAAAGAATGCATATTCTCTTGTCGAGTGGACCATTCAACACATTTCACTTAGGTCGAGTTGGTTTTTAATGTTATCAAAGTCATCTATACCTTTACTACTTGTTCTAATAATTATCTGCTGACTTGTTCTACTAATTACTGAGTGAGCAATGTTAACATATTTAACTATAATTATAAATTTGTCTGTCTTTTAAGTTCTACCAACTTTGGTTTCAGGCATTGTTGAAGCTCTGTTATTAGGTGTGTATATAGATTGAAAATGTTATGTCTTCTGGATGTACTTTGCAGTTTTTCATTATGAAATGCTTCATCTTATCTCTGAAAATATTGCTTATCCTGATGTCTACATTGTAGATCATTAATATAGACATTCTAGACTATGCCTAGCATTTGTTTACATGGTATTTAATTTTGTAGCCTTCAACTTATAACCACACTATGACTTTATATTTAAAGAGGGTTTTCTATGGCTGGCCTATATTTGGGTATTGCCTTTTTACCCTCTCTGACAATGTGTCTTTTAATTGGAGTGTCAAGATTAGTAACATTTAATGTAGTTATTGATATAGTAAGTTTAAATCTATACTCTTGTGATCTTTTTTAAAAAATTGTCTTTTCTGCATCCTTTATTGTTAATTATTGTTTTAGTGTTCTATTATTTCCACTACTGACTTATTAGCTATCCCTTGCTTTAGTTTTTAGTATTACTCTAGGGAATATAACACACACCTTTAACTAATTTCAGCCTACCTTTAAATGATACCATCTCACTTCCCACATAATGTAAAAATCTTATATACCTTATATGCTTTCGTTTATCTCCTTCCATCTTTTGTTGCCATTCAATTTTATTTATGCATATGCTATAAATAGCATTATTCTTGCTTCAAAGATATGTCATTTGAAGAAATAAAAAATGAGAAAAATAGTGTTTTATGTATACTCACTTATATATACCATTTCTAATGTTTCTCATGCCTATAATGTTCTCAGCTGTTCTCAGTTCTCAGCTGTCATCATTTTCCTTCTGCTGGAAGAACAGTCTTTAATATTTCTTGTTGTGCAAGTCTGCTGGTGATGAATTATTTCAGCTTATTTATCAGAAACATAATTTACCCTGAGTTTTGAATTTTACACTTTTCCCTGTGGAAGGGAACTTGAAGAATTTTATCAGGGGAGTTTATAAATGTCATGCTTATATTTGCATTCCAGAAGTATCCTTTGGACAGTCTAATATCCTTTGGACAGTCCCAATTGTTTGGCTTGGGAAAAGTCTGAAAGCAACAGGAACAACCAGGAGGCTGTTAAAATAATCTATGGGAGATATAATGAGGTTTCAAATGAGTCAATGGAGGTAGGGGTGGTGATAAGAAAGCTGGCTTGGTAGATAACTGTGTCATCTGAACTTGGGTATCAAATATAAATGGAGACGATGACTCCCTGTACTTTGGTTATGGCTCTGAAGTAAGGAGAGGCCCTGTGTACTGAGGTGAGAATTTGTAGTAGGAGAAACTGGTTTGTGAGATCAGTGATGCTCATCTTCATGATGGTGAAGGCCCTAGGATTGGGGGGCTGTCCCAGATGCCATGCCTGGCATGCAAGTTCTCCACGGAGATGAACCTCTTATCTGTTTGGGGCCCAGGTACATTTCCAGCTCTTGGTACACTGCACACCAGAGATATAGAGACTGATTTTGTCCAAGTCACTGAGCATGGACTCTGGCTTTAGACTCTAGGTACATGATATTGAGGGTCTCCCACTTCTAGGACACTGGCTCCAGTTCTCTGCTCCTTCTGACCTGCACTGGACAGTTATGGATAATGTCCTTAGGCTAAAATAACTTCAGGTCAGCACTTCTGCACAGAGTGTTTGGCCTGTGGCCTCTCTCATTGCATCAGCCTCACCAGGCTCTTGTTCTGTCTGTTTCTGCTATCCCACTGTTCCAGCAAGTTGTACAGCTGAGTTCACCCCAAGTTATGACATTATTTAGACTTTTCCTTTCAACTCGGAATATGAAACAAGGATAAATCATTCAACCTCCGTCGTCCATTTAACCCCTGTGTAAACTGTCTGAGGAATATAATGATAATTACCTTTTTCAGGGACAGAGTTGGGGGGAGAGTCAATTAAGGCTTGCACTGTGCTTTGAGATCTTTCAATGAAAGGCTCGGGGTTATTACTGTTAACAAGATACTAGAGGGATATTTGCCAGCAGTGACTCCCTTTGAGCCAGCATGTCTGTCATTAGTAATTTGGGGGCTTGGCACAGAGTCATGGGAATGTTTTAATGGCTTCAGTTCAACCCCAGAAATAGATTGTGAAGTTGCAAAAAGAAAAGCTTGTTTTCTCTGCTCTCCTCTACTTCTGTACACGTGGTGACTCTCAGGGGAGATCTCAGGTTCTTTGTCAAGGGCCAAAGAAGTGAGAAACAGGGTCTTATGCTGCCTCAATAAATTCTGACAGTAGACAGTGGTCAGGCCTGTTCCAGGGAGTGATTTAAAGAGGAACTATACCACCAATAGTAACTCTGGCCTAAACTTCATTTCTGGAACTACCTGGGGAGCTTGCTAATCCACTGAAGCTTGGGAGTGATAGGTAATATTATTAAGTTGTGAGTGATAGGTACATTAATATTGTTTCCTAAATAAATATTTAGGAAATGTTTATCAATTTGAACAAGTGATTTTATTCCTAAAACAACTCCCAACTGCTTTTCAGAGCTGTCTTTGTGAGTCAAGAAAACAATGTTTTCTGCCTAGGAGGTGTGGACTTGTTTCTGGCACCTGGGAGAAGAATATATGTGTCCAGCCAACTTGCGTTTGGCCCTTCATTGGCAAAGTCCATGCTGTAGCTTAATTTTCAGCCAATTAATAAACTGTTCTTTTAAAAGCTCCCATCACTTCCTCTTCCTTCGTTTTTTTTTCCCTTTATTTTTTACTCAATTCTTTGTTTTATTTTTAATCATTTCTTTACTCATCAAAGCAACATGATAGACTGCAAAAAACGGCAGATATGTGGAAATGAGAAGTAGCTTTGACTCCTACTGATGGTGACCTTAGGCAAGTCACTTAACCTCTACAACATTTACTTTACCCTCTGAAAAATGTGTTGACAACACAGGGTCCCAGCAAGATGTCTGGGAGTCAATATGGACACAGTTTTTTCAGGTGTTGCAGATGCAGAGTCCCATAAACTTGTGAAGTTACTGAATACAAACAATAGGGTATAGGGGAGACTCCCAGGTGGAACACCCTTGCCCCGGTCACAGGGAGCAGATATTATTCTGTTATAGCAAATGTTTACCAGACTTCATTTCTTTTTTCAAAGCAAATAGGACACTTAAAAATGTATATAGCGTGTCCCAGTTTTTACATGTTGGAACCAATTCATTTTATTTTGCAAAAAGATGTGAAACAATTACAACATGGTTGTAGGCTGGGTTTGACTAACAAGCAACCAATCTGATATTTGTAATATATTTTATCCTTTATCCATTTCTGTCTTTTTCCTCTTCTTCTTTGTCCTCTAATACTTTTTCTTTTTCTATCTTTTTTCCCCCTGAAAAAAGCGTGTTCTTTATATTGTTCTAAAGGAATACTGGAATTCTTTGCTTGAGATACATTCACACAAACCACAGTTTCCTCATTCTTCCAACAGGCCCACTCAAATTCACATCTCTTTTCTTATAAATGACAATACAATGACACCACCAAGCCCACTGAGTTTTGAAATAGGCAAGCCTATACTTCCATTCCCAAGAGAAAACTGGAAATAATATGTCTTCCTACTTTTACTTAAAAAATAAAAAGAGCCAACGTGGCTGTTGACAAGATCACCAGGAATGTTAACTCATCAGTCACTTGGGACTATCTGCGGTTGAGTTTGCCAACCCTTGGCCACATAGATGGTGTCAATCCTGAGCCTGATGAGAAGCTGGTCTGAAGGAGGCATGACCGTGTGGGTTCATTGCCTTTCCAGAACACTATGCTAAAGAAGCCCCGACCACTGGTTGTGCAGTAGTAAATTGTACATAAAAGGTATGCTCATCACCAAAAATGAGCATGGTTCTTCCCACTTGCAGGGACTTGCCTTCTTTTAACTCTTTTTTTGGGAGAAATGTGACTACTTTATTTAATGCAAGAAGAGACCCCTTTGGAAACAGTGTAATAGTACTTTGTATGCATGTCCACATTTTCTATTCCCTTTCCACTGACAGAAATAACTAATCATCAAAGGCACTCTTCCCACTGAGTCTAGATAGAGCCACAAAATCCTTAATATACATGGCAGCCATGATCGGTCATTTGGGGTAGGCGTATGTGTTAAAATCCAGTATGCCAAAAGGTGAAAACAACTCAAATATCCATAAAATAGTAAACAGGTAAGCAAAATATGATATATCCAGGTTATAGAAAACAATTTGCCATGAAAAAGAAATGAAATGTGGATACACATAACA